CTAAGCAAAACTAGTCAGAGAAAGACAAAAATCATATGACTTCACTCATATGAAGACTTTAAGAGACAAAACAGATGAACATAAGGGAAGAGAAACAAAAATAATATAAAAACAGGGAGGGGGACGAAACAGAAGAGAGAGACTCATAAATATGGAGAACAAACTGAGGGTTACTGGAGGGGTTGTGGGAGGGGGGATGGGCTAAATGGGTAAAGGGCATTAAGGAATCTACTCCTGAAATCATTGTTGCAGTATATGCTAACAAACTTGGATGTAGATTAAAAAAATAAATTTTTTAAAAAGAAATTTAAAAAAAGAAACAAGGTATAAATGTTCAAATAAACAAAAATTCTTAACATTTTCATAATGTGAAAACACATAAACATCAAAAGGAAAGCAACAAACTAGAAAAACAAATAGGAAATCCTTGCTACATGAAACATAAATTATACAAATACCCAGTTTCTACTTGATAAATGGTTAACACTAGATGAGGCAATAATTTTAATAACAAATATAATAATCAGGCAATAAGTTATTTTATACAGAAAAAGAGCACAGACTCCAAACTCATGAAAGATATTCAAAAGTCAAATAGCTGTAAGCTTTTTATACAACTGCAAGCTATCAAAAAAATCAAACTAATAGAGCTAGGTACGCTTGCTGCTGATGGTGATACAAAATGGTTTAACCTTTTTGGAGAACATCTGGCAATATGTAACAAGAGCTAGGAAACTGTCCATGCCTTCTAGGTAAATACATTCTGGGCAATAAGCCATAAATAAATAGCCCAAATGGACAAAGTAGTTTATGTAAAGATATCCAATGCAGAAATATCACAAAGCAGAAAAACTGAAACCACATAATAAGCATGCACAGAAGGAATGGTGAAACAAACTGGTGCATTTATTACACGGTAGAGTAACTATAGTGGCTATTCAAATTATGTAGGTGGGGGGCGCCTGGGTGGCTCGGTCGGTTAAGCATCCGACTTCGGCTCAGGTCATGATCTCACGGTCCGTGAGTTCGAGCCCCGCGTCAGGCTCTGTGCTGACAGCTCAGAGCCTGGAGCCTGTTTCAGATTCTGTGTCTCCCTCTCTCTCTGCCCCTCCTCATGCTCTGTCTCTCTCTGTCTCAAAAACAAATAAACGTTAAAAAAAAATTAAAAAAAAAAAAAAACAAATTATGTAGGTGAAATTATGTAAGCAGAATAAGAGAATAAGGGACATAGAAAATATAGAACATGAACAAAGCATATAGAAATATCTGTATCTTGACAATGTGGGGAATGCGGAGAGAAACCATGAACTGTGTTCTTTGCCTATGAAGTTAAAAATACGAGTTCGGGCCACGGCCGTGGTATGGCCCTCGAGCCTGTTGTGAAACTGCTCAGAGGAGGAGATTTGGGGGGAGGGGGTCGGTATTTAAGGATCAGAGTTTTCCCTCCAATGCCTCCCAACTCTCCTGTGATAAGACGCTTTTAAATTTTAATTACAGAGGGGTGCTTGGGTGTCTCAGTCAGTTAGGCTTCTGACTCTTGAATTTGCTCAGGTCATTATCACATGGTTCATGAGATGGAGCCCCAAGCCAGGCTCCGCACTGACAGTGTGGAGCCTGCTTGGAATTCTCTCTCTGCCCCTCCCCTGCCTGTGCATGTGCACATGCACACACACACACACACTCTCAATATAAACTTTAAAAGATAAATTTTAATTACAGTAATATATAAACTGTCCTTCTAAGGCAAAGATCAACTCCCCACAAACAGCATCATCTTATAACCCCCACCTTACTAGCTTGCACCCACTACTATTGCTACAAAATGAGCAGCGGAAGGGGACACACCCAGGGCCCCCTGGGACACTGGCTCATCACCGTGGGGACCCTGGCCGGCCACAGGAAGCCTTCCAGGTTGAGAGCAAGATTCTACAGAGCCAGTATATGCTGAGAGAAAAGTCTTTTAAACCTAAGCAATGTCGATTCTGAGGTTCTTCGCATACTCACTTGGCTTTCTCAAACGAGACATCACGTGTGTTTGGGGCAGACTCTCACCTGAGCCCAATTATTCTGTACAACAGGGAAGGAAACTTTTGCAAGGGCTCCAGAAGTCAAATGTAAGAGTCTTAAGGATATGGATATGCACACACGTGGAGATCTCATGAAATCTTAAGTGTGCACTTACTTCCCGCAGCACATATGATGCTTATCAGGCATTGCCAAGCCCAGGACAAGGACGCAGTACTTCTGTGCCAGGTAATTCTGTGCTGCTTCTAACTTCCTTATAACCAATTCCATCTCCTTCTTCTCCACAAGGCCCCTAAAAAGAAAACAATCATTTGGATTAATGTTGGCAAATGCCAACAGTAATCAGCGAACAGTCAGAAGTGTGAACTGTTTTGAAAGAAATAACAAGTGAGTCAACACATGTCACTTACCTTTTCATTTAGCTGATTTGAGCTATGGCAGAGGGAGGGCTTTGACAGTTACCATTGTAATTAGAATCTCAGGTTCATGGTGAATTTTCACTTTTTTATAGATTCTTTATGCTATGTATTTCTAACGTTACATACAGGCAGTCCTAATTTATACCAAATAGCCCAGCAGCCCAACTAACAAATTACCTATACTGGTTTCTGAGGCAGCTGGCAGCATATTTTCCTGCTGTTTTGCTGAAAGAGCTACTGGAGACTCTCCCAGGGCAGCTTCCCCTGGGTTCCTGATGTTACAAGGAAGTGTGAAGTCTCAGTGTTTGAACCACTCAACGCTTCCCTACTCTGAGTTCTGCGTTTGCTGAGGAAGCATGTGTGGACCACTAATCTGGGAGCTTTGGCATCAATTATAACAGCCTCGCTTCCCTGTGAAAACACTGCCCCAGTTCCAATTGAATTGCAAATGAACATTCCAAAAGACAACCTGTTACAGCATGTCTGGAGCCTAATTTTAGAAGTTTGTGCAGTACAGTATAGTACGAAACAACATTACTCACAACACATTCCAACGATTGCTATTGAAAAGTGCAGTGTCACTGGCTTTTTATCTGCCTTTTCATTTTCGGAAAGATTTAAACCCAATGAAATGCACCCTAAACAACAGGGACGAATTATTGCCCCTTCTGATGTTAACTATGAGCCTGACTGACCACATGAGGATATGCTGTGGAGGAAGGGGTTTAAAGATAATAGAGATATTTCAAAGCACAACACGTTATCACATGTGATGAGAAGGCTTGAGTCACTGGAATAAAATGAGTTTCTGGAATAAAGTGAGTTCCAACTTGAAATGCCCCAATTTCAAATAATCCAAACACCTACACCCACACCCGCTTGCACCTCAATGGCCATGACTATGCCCACCTCCCTGCTTCCTTCAGCAGCCTCCCAGCCCAACCCTTCCCCCCCCACCCCCCGACTTTTCCAGAGCTGCCAGTAGCTAACATGCCTCTTTTGCTGTTGAAAACAAAACAACAACAACAAAAAAATGCCTTGAAAACTTTTAGGCCAATGGTTCCAAAGCTGAAATATATGTAAGAATTGCCTGGGATACTCGCTGAAAGTGCGGATTCCTAATGCCACGCCCTCTCCAAGATCCTGACTTAGCAGGTCTGCGTAGAGCCTGGCATTTATTTTTTTTTTTTTAATTTTTTTTTTTCAACGTTTATTTATTTTTGGGACAGAGAGAGACAAAGCATGAACGGGGGAGGGGCAGAGAGAGAGGGAGACACAGAATCGGAAACAGGCTCCAGGCTCCGAGCCATCAGCCCAGAGCCCGACGCGGGGCTCGAACTCACGGACCGCGAGATCGTGACCTGGCTGAAGTCGGACGCTTAACCGACTGCGCCACCCAGGCGCCCCGAGCCTGGCATTTAAAACACGCCCAGGTGCAATCCTTCGGGAAAAAATTGATAATAATTTCATACACCATACAATTGATCATAACCTTGGGTCCAATGATCTCTCTGGGAAATTTATCCTTCTTAGAAAAAGAAGGATATTATCCAGGGGTGCCTGGGTGGCTCAGTCAGTTGAGTATCTGAATCTTGATCTTGGCTCAGGTCATGACCTCATGGTTTGTGAGTTCGGACCCTGCATCAGGCTCTGTGCTGGCAGTGCAGAGGCTGCTTGGAATTCTCTCTCTCTCCCTCTCTCTGCCCTTCCCACACGCACGCTCTTTCTCTCTCAAAATAAATAAATAAGCTTTAAAAATTATCCAAAATCAAGGGGGAAATCTAATGCATGAAGATATTCAATAATCATTCAATTATTATCTATTTGTCTATTAGGAAAACTGGCAACTCCCAAAAATCTATAAAATGGAAGGGAAAAAGTAGTAATAATGCAGACTGTAGTAATACAGCCAGGTGCCACTTAAGGACTTGACATTTATTAACTTAACATATGAGTCCCCTAGGATTTATGCCAGCACCAAAGTCCATACCTTTAACCAGTATATGTGCTATACTGCCTCGTAAGTCAATCAGTCAATAACACACATTAGCTTGATGGAAAGTTATGCCACCATTAAAAATTATAATTATGAAGATTGTAATAACTTGAAAAATACTTACAATGTTCTAAAAACTATGTAATTTGGGGGCACCTGGGTGCTTCCGTCAGTTAATTGTCCGACTCTTGATTTTGGCTCAGGTCATGATCTCGCAGTTCGTGAGTTTGAGCCCTGCTAACAGCACAGAGCCTACTTGGGATTCTCTCTCTCTCTCTGTCTCTCCCTCTCCCTCTCTCTCTCTCTCTGCCCCTTCCCCCCTGCTTGCTCTCTCTCAAATAAATAAACTTTAAAAAAATGAAAAACAAAAATAACATAATTTTGCCTTTGCTCAGAAGTCACAAATCCTAAGTGTAAATGGATAAACTCTGCATAAGAGAGCTTAGCTGACTGGTAGAGGGTGTGGACACACCGCACAGTGGCTTAGGCACAGGCCTGGGAGTTAGATCTGGGCTCCCATCTCAGCTCCACTACCAACAAGGCATGTCGTCTCCAGCCAGCCGCTTAACCTCTCTGAGCCTTGGCTTCTTCATCTGTAAAATGGGGAAAAGGCTCCTTCCTCTGGAATCGGGACTTTGAGTCGTCTAAACCCTCCAAAGGATGTCTTTGTAGCCCTTTCAGCTCTCCCCTCACAGGCTGAAGGCTTTCCTCCCACGTGGCAGCCTCTGGTTTAAAATAATATGCATTATCTCATGTAATCTGGATGATAATATCTCATGTAATCTGGATGATAACTCTGTAAAGTGGATACTACCATTATCCCTGTTATACCTCACTAGTTTGACCAAAATCAATTTTTTTCTTAAAGTTAAAGTTATTTAAGTCCAGATATTTCAATACAATCCATATTTCTACTATAGTAAGTAAACTAATTACTGGAGGCCTGAAAGTGAAAAGTTATTCTAATTATTTCATAATCACACCATAGAAGCAATCTTTTTTTTTTTTTTTTAATGTTTATTTATTTTTGAGGGAGAGAGAGAGAGCAGGGGAAAGGCAGAGAGAGAAGACACCAAAGCAGGTTCCAGACTGAGCTGTCAGCACAGAGCCTGATGCGAGTCTCAAACTCAAGATCTGTGAGATCATGACCTGAGGTGAAGTCAGACACTTAACTGACTGAGCCACCCAGGCGCCCCATGGAACCAATCATTTTAAGACTTGGATTTTTCTGTCATTCTGTAACCGATTCCTTCTAAAAAAGTCTACCTTATACCACTGTACTCTAATATGTTTTAGTGTATTTTAAAAAAAACCCAAGAGACCTTACTTCTCTGTTAATCTATTTCTAAAATGAAGAAATGAAACAAAGGTCTCTGCCAGAGCAGCAATAACTCTCAGAATTAGAAAACACCATATAAAATATAAGTGAATGTGCTGCCACAGTCTAATAACTTCTTTTGGGGGGACGATAAGACCCCTCAAACCTTCTGAGCCTACAGCTAGCTGAGCCCTTTTGCTTGCCACCACAGAAACCCTTCGTGAGCTCTGGCCACTCTGCAGTGAAAGCAGCCTTGAAATAACACGGATGTGGCATATTTTGATGGCTTTACTGGACCAGCAGTGTCTGAATTATTTATTTGGTTTTTTACAAAACTGCTGTCCAGATATATTTATCTATCCATAAAATGGTTTTCAAACTGCTTGGTTGTACACAAGGATTTTGCATTTTAAAAACATTCCACAGCAACAAATTGATGACTCTAACAGCATTTCTAACAGCTAAATCATTGGGTTGATTCCACACATACTGGGGAGGGCAGCCTGGGCACTTGGAAAGTTCCACGGTTTGCAAAAGGTCACCAAGCCTGAGAGGCATTGTTCTGCTCTGGACTCTGAGTTCCCAGATTCTTGCCCCATACAGCTCTGAGCCACCTCTGCCTAAAGCAGTGAAATTCTTCCTACGTAGCCTAAGAAATCTTGTTTTCTTCTGTAATATGGAATATAATTTTGGTCATATCTATTAATTTTCTTAATTCTTAGTTTTTTTCATTGGATGCTTACAAAAGCCCTAGCAGGGCTTTTAAGCATAAAGCAGGTTTTAAGCATAAAAAGCATAAAACCAAATATCTGTATCTGCACTGTCCAACATGGTAGCCATGAGCCACGTGTGGCTACTAAGCACTAACTGTGGTTAATCTGAACTGAGGAAATAAGTGTCAGATTTCAAAGATTTACTACAAAAAAAAAAAAAAAAAAAAAAAAAAAAAAGCAAAGTATGTCATCAATAACATACATTACAATAACATACAATAACACTGACTACGTGTCTCAATGATATTTTTGAGTCACTGCATTAAATAAAATACATTATTAAACTTAATCTCACCTTTATCTTTTTTAAGATTTTTTTTATTTGTAAGTACTCTCTAAGTCCAACATGGGATTCAAACTCATGACACTGAGATCAAGAGATCTACTGACTGAACCAGCCAGGCACCCCCGCCTTTATCTTTTATGTTTCTTAAATCTAGCTACTGAAAAAATTTTTAATTACATATGTGGCTCTCTTTATATTTCTACTGGGCAGTGCTGGTCTATACTATCTGGAATATTTTGTTGTTAGAATAACTATTTGAATTATTCAGTGAGCTTTAAAAACTAATGAACTCCTCCCATGTAAATATTTTAGCATACTCCAAAAATTAAAAAATTTCCATCATCTCTATTACTCAGCCATCAAAAAGAATGAAATCTTGCCTTTTGCAATGATGTGGATGGAGCCAGAGTGTATTATGCTAAGCGAAAGAAGACAGAGAAAGACAAATACTGTAAGATTTCACTCATATGTGGAATTTAAGAAACAAAACAGATGAACATACGGGGGAGGAAAGGAAAAATAAAATAAGAGAAAAACAGAGAGGGAGGCAAACCATAAGAGACTCTTAACTAAAGAGAACAAACTGAGGGTTGCTGGAAGGGAGGTGGGTGAGGGGATGGGCCAAACGGATAATAGGCATTAAGGAGGGCACCTGTGATGAGCACTGGGTGTTACAGTAAGTAATGAATCACTACATTCTGCTCCTGAAACCAATACTACACTGTAT